TAGAAAGAATAGAGAGGTTGCACTAGAGATTTATGTAGATTTGACCTAACAATTAGATATATTCTTTTTTCTAAGAGTTTCTTGAGAGTTTCACTAAAATCAACCTTGAACTTTTACAAGATCAACCCAAACAACCTTCAATAATACTAAGAGCTTTAGCTTAAGAATCTTCACTCAAACTTTTTTCAAGTTTAATTTGCAACCTTGAAATTCTTTACAAAGATATTGCACAAAAGAATCACACTTTTGAATAAAACAAATTTAGCACAACACCAATACAACAAAAATCTCAAAAGGAATTTGTTCACTCTTTTGACAATACCGCAACTCTAGTGAATGAAGAATTTTAGAAGAAAAAAAAATAGAAAAGTAAAAGAGATGTTTCTTAATTTGAAATTTGGTGTAAAGTAAAATGAGGAGAAACTTCCTTTATATTGGAAAAGATTTGATTAAAAAAGAAAACAATCCATGAGCCAAATTTATGAGTTTTTGTTTCTTTATTAAAACATGATTTTAATTGATTAAAACAACCTTAAAAATGACAACCCTAAAATGGATATATACTTTTATCGATTAAAAGACGTTTCTATTTGCTTTAATGGATATAACCAAAGCCTTAATCAATAAGGAAGTGAATTAACTTTCCTAATTGATTAAAAACATTTCTTAATCAACTTCATACTTGTCTGGGTTGATTTTAAGAAGTTTAATAAAATTTAGAATATGTTTGAAAAGCATCGTGTGTGTCTGAGATTGCCTTAGTACCTCAAGACTTACTCTTGTCCTTTTTACAATAAATTAATAAAATTTTAAGCACATGACCAGACAATCTTTCACACTTCTATCATTTTCACAACTTTAAGGCTTTAAGTTCCTCTACTTGATTCAATGTTGTCTTGTACTTAAACTAGAACTTGAATCATTGACTGATGGAGCTTGAAATATCTTGTTTGGATGCCATCATCAATAACTATTGGATGATTGCAATCAAATCCCCCTTTGACACTTGTCCCCAAAATCTATTGAAAAAGTTGTCAACACCAAAAAAAAAAGACTTATGGAGTTCTTGTCTTTTAAATTGCTTGATAATAGTCATGATCAAAACTAGATGACGATTATACTTGCACAACACATAGATCAACACCACTTGGATCGTCACCAATTGGGAACCTCTCTAGGCTTTGAGTTTTTTGACCTTCAAATATGTTTCCAAGGTCGCCTCATTAATAAAAGCTTTATATTTGGTTGTTACTGGCCCTAAATTCGAAATAAAGAGACTTTTCAATTCATACTCTTAGTGGTTTTTTTGATACTACATTCTTTGATTTCGTTAAGGTTGAATGCATCATCTATTGAGAGGATCCAAACCTTTGAGCCTTCTATGTTGGTCAAAGATATGAGTTTTACCATATAGTCAGATTTTAGTTGATATTTGATCATCCTTATTGAAATGAAAAAGGAGGTTGTATCCGGACAACTCGACTGACCACACCATCATTTTTCTTGCAAGGTCAGATTATTCAACGCATACTTGATTAGGTAGTAGATTTTCATCACTATCTTATGGATTTAGAAATAAGGCCTTGTATGTTTCATCTTGTGTCGATGCCTAGAGCTAGGAACTCGATCTTTTGGTATCTTATCTCAACGTATCTGAAGACCTTGCTTACAAAATGTATTAATTTTCTTCCCCTTATACTTCTCACACTAAAATAGAATTGGGTGTGTCATCTGTCACAAATAAACATAAATATTACTCTGGTCTAGGTTAATGTCCATCCCACTTAGGTTCAGATCACCCAATCCAGTTGTTAGAGGTAGTTCAAGATATACATTCACTTTAGAGATGCATCAGATCAAATTCGTCCAATTGTCATGTACTGTTAGATAATAAGGTCACATGATCATTTGAAAATTGCCCTTTAATGCAAGTGTACTTTGAAGAAGTTTCTAAGGCCTCAAACCCTAAGGGCTCACTATAAAAGGAAAATCATTATTAGGTACACACAATACTAACTTAAAACCTAGCAGTTATGCTCATCACTAACTTGAGCAATAAAGTGTTTGCAAATACACCATCCGTCGATGGACTAGAGAAGAAGTTCATTCAAGAGCTCAATGTTAGATCTTAAATTATTAAAAATACATGAAGAAAAAGGTTTATTTATGGATTAAATACAATGATATGATTTGCTTTAGACGAGTTAAGATTGATGGTAAAGATTGTAACACCTTCAAATTCTAGAAGGATGACCCACACTCTAAGGTCCACTTGAACCTTCCGCCTCTCCTTTGGGTTGTGAAAAATGGAAAACTTTATCTCCTACACATGAGATAAATCTTGACAAGGAGACTATTCTTCCCATAAGTTGTTGTACTTCTTTGATGCTCGTCATACTTTTCATGTTAATGATATCCTAGAACTTATCTGAGTTTTCTTCTATTCCTATGTTAGTCAAGAAAAATCTCAAAAACCTATGTGGTTTGACTTCGAAGGAGAGTTTGGATGGGTTCATTCTTATATTGTACTTTATGGATAAGCACGTGATCTTATCCAAGTCTTAGTAGCAAGGTCTATCATCCTCCATCTTCAGAATCATGTCGTCTATGTATACTTCCCGATTTCTACCATTTTTATTCTTAAAAATCAAGTCCTTAAGATGTTGATAGACCACACCTACATTTTTAGGCTAAAAGACATCACTTCGTAGTTTTAGTTGCATGTGTTTTCCATTTAGGAGTGTCCAAGGAATCCATCATGTTTTAGTTATACCAGGAGTATGTGTCTATACAACTTAAGACTTTGTAACCTAAAGCTTCGTTGATAAAATTTTCAATGCTTGATAAGAAGTGCAAATCATTTGGGTATGCCATATTCAAATTGATGAAGTCTATGCACATTGTCCATTTGTCATGGTTTTCCCAAACACTACTATGTTCGTTAGCCAGATATAATAATCGGTATCTTTGATGAATTTAACATCCTTCAACTACTTGACATGTTACTTTTCTTTTTATATGAATAATTTCTCTAAGATATCGACTTGAGCAAATGGAAAATTGATAAATTGTGGCTTATAATACTTACCTAGATGCTTGGAATCTAGGACGACTGACAAGTATAAATGTCCCCATTCTTTCTTAGTAGAGCCCCTATTACCTTTCCAGCTTCCAAGGATGTTTTGAGTTTAGTGGTCTGGCGAGTATGCTTTCCTATAAAACTTATTCAAATCTTCATGAGGCATACCATTCTTTCCCTGAAGTCCTCACATAGGTCCAAGTCAATCATGTATTGTGTGTGGTTCATGTTGTTCAAACTTGCCTCAGATGAGGGCACACTTTTGGCTTTTCTTTGTTTAATTTTCAAATATCTTGCTATTTCTTTGTCCCGCTTTATTATCCCTATGTCACCATTGTCTAATGGATACTTTTTAGTCAATTATAAAGCGAGGATGGTGGCACACAACACGTTGAACGTTTTTTGTCCTTTGACAATGTTGTAAGATAAGAATATGGTGGGTACAATCAAGTAACTCAGTTTTATTATTTTTATGATGGCCTATAATGTGTGGCATATGCTCTCGCTAAGTGTATGAGGGGACCTTGCTATGAACAACACTCAATAAAGTTTAGATATGTGATAAAATGTAGATCATTTAAGGTTCTGCACTAAACATTTACATAGAGAGAATGATATGATCACATGTTCATCATAATCATGATCTTGGTAACAACCCCTAAACTTTGAATAATTGTTGTGTCCACCCTTCTTCGCTTCAATTGTGATTTTGTGATGCATGGTCGAAAAAGACCACACTTATATGCAATATTATTGTAAAACAATTTTATATTTTCTTAATTTGAATGTATATTATACTAATGATATCCATTTGTACTAAGCGTGAGGTGAGGGAAACATGGTGAAAGTGGTAGCAACATAAACCCTGAAAGTAGAAAACATGCATGTCAGTCATGGTTTGCGATCACGTAAATGAGATTCATTCTCTCGTCTATTTCTCAAGAAGGGAACAATAGCCTTAGCCACCTATCTCAAGACTTATCGCATTGGTGATTATGTTGACATAAGGGTTAACGATGTTGTTCCAAGGTTATGCCTCACAAATTTTACTATGGCCGCATCAGTCGCGTCTAAAATGTTACCAAGCATGCCATCAGCGTCGAAGTCAACAATTAGGTGAGGAACAAGATATTAAAGAAGATGATTTATGTTCGAGTGGAACATGTTTTTCCCTCTAGATGCACTGAGGAATTTCGATTGAAAAAGATCCAAAATGATAAATTAAAGGTTAGGGCTAAGGCTAATCGAAATGTCTAAGCACCTAGCGCAAGCCAAATGGCCCTAAACCTTGTTTCAAAGTGCTACATTAGAAAGTGTTACTCCAATACCATATGATATTGTTAATGACCTCAAAGGAGGATACTAGAAGTTTATTAACATTTGTATATTGACATTTTGTTCTTCTTTGTTACACTGCACCTTGTTATGCTTGAGTTGGTTTTGATTTTTCTCATCTTTTTTTATGGACCTTGATTTCTTGCAACCATATCATCCCACCTTCATGCATAAAGTCAAATCTAACCATTCAATTTTAATCCGACGATTCTGATTTAAAATTAATAGTTAAAAAAAAATCAAATCTATTTTTTTAAGCAGTGTGATCAAGATCAGACCATCGATAAAGACTTAACAATATGATTGCGACAATATCCTAACCGTAAGGATTCGATTTTTTCATTTATCTGAACAACTTTCAAATTTACGAAGAAAAAGAAATCCAATAATATTTTTATTTTTTTTATATCTTGTCTTGACCCATGACCAAAACACTATTATTTGTCCATTCGTTTCGTTTGGAGTTAAAAAAAAAATATATATATTATATAATGTAATGACAAAAAGCATTATTCACTCCATAGGTTCTTAGTAACACCACTAAAATATTAAGCAACCACATCGACTAATTAAACCTCCAACCACCATGGCACACGACATTTCCAACGACCAACCACCACCGGAAATATCAACAACAACCACACCAACACCTCTCCTCCGCCGCAACTTCTTCCGTCTCCCCTCAACCCTCAAACTAAAGACCTCCCTCTGGTCAGAACTCTCCGGCGCCGTCGGCGATTTAGGAACATACATCCCAATCGTACTAGCTTTATCCTTAGTCAACAATCTCGATCTAACAACAACTCTCGTCTTCACTTCTCTCTACAACATCATCACCGGACTTTTCTTCGGACTTCCCATGCCAGTCCAGCCTATGAAATCCATCGCCGCAGTCGCCATCTCGGAATCGCCACCTCTCACAATTCCTCAAATCTCCGCCGCCGGTTTATCCGTCGCCGCCGTACTCCTCTTTCTCGGAACAACCGGTCTCATGTCTTTTCTCTACCGTTACCTCCCTCTCCCGGTAGTTCGCGGCGTTCAACTCTCTCAGGGACTTCAATTCGCTTTCTCCGCCATTAAATATATTCGCTACCAACAAGATTTATCTTCTGCTTCATCAAAAACCGGTCCAGTCCGTCCTTGGTTTAGTCTGGACGGACTGGCCCTGGCTCTTGTTGCTGTTCTTTTTCTTGTTCTCACCACAGGCGCTGGCGAGGACAATCATCAAGAACAACAACACGAGCTTGATGAAAATGCGTATGATAGTGACGATAGAATTGATAATCTTCGACGAAATAAAATTCGTCGAAGATTGAAGATTCTATCCATGGTTCCCTCGGCTTTGATTGTGTTCTTGTTTGGATTGTTATTGTGTTTTATTCGGGATCCTTCGATTTTTCATGATTTGCAATTTGGTCCTTCTAAGATTAAGTTGATTAGAATCACTTGGGATGATTTTAAAGTTGGATTTGTCAGGGCTGCAATCCCGCAAATTCCGTTATCGATTTTGAATTCGGTTATTGCGGTTTGTAAACTTTCCGGAGACTTGTTTCCGGAAAGAGAAGCTTCAGCTATGAAGGTTTCAGTGAGTGTTGGAGTGATGAATTTTGTTGGATGTTGGTTTGGTGCCATGCCATGTTGCCATGGAGCAGGAGGATTGGCTGGTCAGTATAGGTTTGGAGGTAGGAGTGGTGCTTCAGTTGTGTTTCTTGGGATTGGTAAATTGTTGATTGCTTTGGTTTTCGGGAACTCTTTTGGGAGAATTTTGGGTCAGTTTCCTATTGGGATACTTGGAGTGTTACTTTTGTTTGCTGGGATTGAATTGGCTATGGCTTCTAAGGATATGAGTAGTAAACAAGAATCTTTTGTTATGTTTGTTTGTGCTGCTGTTTCTTTGACTGGCTCTAGTGCTGCTTTAGGGTTTTTTGTTGGGATTGTTCTTTACTTGCTGTTGAAGTTGAGAGAACTTGATTGTGGATTTGGGTTTTTGTCTAATTCTAATAAGGACAAATCTTCTAAGGATGAGGAAGCTCACTTAATTGCCTAAAACATTTTGATTTGGATTGTGGCCCAAAGTGTGAAATGGATTCATAATATTTTTTTAATTAGTAAATTTGAAACCAAGAAATGCAAGGAATTCTTGACTGCAGAGAATTTAGATCCTTGAATGATCAACAATGATGTGATCATTGGAAGATGAAAGCTTTTATAAGTACATAGTATATGTTTTTCATCTTTCTTTTGTCAAATAATGTTGGCTATATTTGTGTTTGTTGTAATGTTCTATTTAAGGTGTACAAACATATCATCATATGTATGTGTATTATATTTATAGCTAAAGTTCATAATCCTTTTGAGTGTGGGACTTTTTGCAAGATGTGTTGGTTCAATGGGGAACATGGTTTTGTAGGACCCTTCTATACTCTTGACTCAAATCAAGTGTTTGGATGAGTACATGCTTAATAAGGATTTACGTTATGATTCATAAGCAAGCACTTGTTAAGGAAATTTCATTCAATTGCAGCAAAGCATTGTAGTCCATAAGAGCACATTCAATTTAGTATAACTAGTGAGTGTTTAACCTAATTTCTTTTATACATAAAAAAAAGTGATAACAATTGCTTCAATCAAGATTTTGGTTAGAAAGTATATGTAATATATTTTTGGGTAGAAAAAGTAATACAGTACTAAACTTTTCCTTTTATACTAAACTTTATGATAAAAAATTGAAAAGTTTTAATCAATATATGGAGGTGCTTTAATTTTAAGATACGAATCTAAATCTAGTTGTCATCCAATAACTAGAATTTTATATATACCTTCCTATGACACTCAAGACATTTGTTTATATATATATATATATATATATATATATATATATATATATATATATATATATATATATATATATATATATATATATATATATCCACGAGAAGATTGGTTACCAATACAGGCTATAACAATAGACTTCAATTATTATAATGAAATCAGCACCGAAAAGTTTTGGTCCCAAACGGCACGTAAGCAAAAAAGAAAGATTAAAAAAACAATGAACAAGAAGCACTCAAACAAAAATAAAAGAATACTCAATTGACATAATAAAAAAATGGCATTGACAATTAAGTACCTTACAATTAATTAATTATAGTGGGAATTGGAAACATTTGTTGACAATTAATGTTCAATAAATGAACACAAGTGAGAATTAATATAGAAGTGAATTTGAAAAGATTCATTTTAGTCCCACATTGAAGGGAATGGAAATATTAGTAGTGTTTAGATGAATTATTTTTGGACCTGAATTTATATAATTTAATTATCATTAATTAATTAATATAATTCGGTGGAAAATTAATTAATAATAAATATTAATTAATTAAGAAAATAATTGGTCAGTTAGTCCTCCACGAATTTCTCAGTCTCCCACCATTTTCTCCACTCCCCACGAATTTCTCAGTCTCCCACCATTTTCTCCACTCCCCACGAATTTCTCCCCACTCAGGTGCAGTTTGCTGCCTATAAATACAGGGTAGAAATTCAGAAGTGGGTACATCGGATTTCACAAATTCACACGAATTTTGATTTCCCTCTTCTCTTTCTTATTTCTCTTCATCTCAAAAACTCTCTTTTCTTGACTGGTTATTTTCACCAGATACTTAGACAGGTGTATTTCTAGAGCGATTCATCAGTGTGCAACTGATAATCGTAAGTTGTTTGAACGGGCTGTTTTATCCTGGAGGCGTCGTCGTAAATTCGACTGCTTTGCATAATTTGGCAGTACGGCGAAACGTCTTAAAGAAAGCGACCTAGTACTTAAAGAAAGCGACCTAGTACGCGACTCGTCCCGATAATTTCCTTGTGCTAAACTTTAATTTTCAGATCCGAAGAACAACAATTTTAAGACGTTTTCATAACTGCCATGGCAACTGAGGAAATTATCGGTACTACTGCGGCCGCTTTGGTCTCTGACAAACCTTTCAGGTTTGAGGGTTCCAATTTCAAACGTTGGCAAGCTAAGATGAAATTTTTCTTAACTTTGAAAAAGGTTGCCCACGTTCTGACTGAGGAAATCCCGGTTGTCCCTTCTGCATCATCTGAACTACCTAACGGTAACTCACTTGCAGATTCAGACGGGACTTCCAAAATGTCTGACTCAGATGCTGCAAAAGCTAAGGCTGCAGCAGATGATCTGCAGCTCCGAAAATAAATCGCCTTATGGCACGAGAATGATTATCTGTGCAAAAATCACATTCTGAACAGCCTTGCTGATGATCTGTACGACTACTACAGTAGCTACAGAACTGCTAAACAGGTATGGGAGGCTCTGAAAAGGAAATATGATACTGAAGAAGCAGGTGCGAAGAAATCTGCTGTCAGCCGCTACTTGAACTACAAGATGGTGGATGAGAAGTCGGTGGAAAGTCAAAGCCACGAAATTCAGAAGATTGCTCATGAGATTATTACAGAAGGTATGCTCCTTAATGAACAATTTCAAATTGCTGTAATTATTGACAAACTGCCCCCTGGTTGGAAAGATTTCAAAAATATAATTCGTCACAAAACAAAAGAATTTTCAATCGAGAGTCTGATTACTCGCCTCCGAATTGAAGAGGAGGCTCGGAAACAAGATCAGAAAGAAGAAGTCTTAGTTGTTTACGACAACAAAAAGAAGTTTGGTGCGGTTCTGAAGCCTACGGGCAAACCTTTAAAGAATCAGAACCGTTGTGCTATGAACCGAACTAAGAATGGGAATCCCTCTAGGGCCCCATCGGCTCCGTTTGCTAGGCAACAGCCACCACCTCAAAGAAATGGCTCCGGTTTTCTCTTGCTACAATTGTGGGAAACCGGGCCATATGGCAAAGAAATGTAGGAGCAGGCCTAAACCTGTAGGTGGCTCAAATACACAGGTTAACCTGACTGATGAGCAACTAATTGCCATGATCACTGAAATCAACATGGTTGGTGGAAGTGACGGTTGGTGGATAGACACTGGCGCCACTCGTCATGTCTGCTATGATCGTGCTATGTTCAAGACATACATGAATATTGAAGATAAGAAAGTGTTGTTGGGAGATGCTCACACCACTAATGTTGCTGGAATTGGAGTTGTTGAACTGAAGTTCACTTCAGGAAAGACTTTGATCTTGAAGGACGTCATGCATGTTCCTGAAATTAGGAAGAATCTTGTTTCTGGTTTTCTTCTGAATAAGGCTGGATTCAGTCAAACTTTAGGGGCAGATTTGTACACCATCACTAAGAATGGTATTTTTGTGGAAAAAGGGTACGCCACTGATGGCAAGTTTAAGTTGAATGTTGATTTGAATAAAACTTCTCCTTTTGTTTACTTTTTGTGTGATTTTAATATTTGGCATGGTAGACTTTGTCACGTTAATAAACGAATCATTTCTAATGCAAGCAACATAGGCCTAATCCCTAAACTAAATATTAATGATTCCAATAAATGTGAATTTTACAGTCAAGCTAAAATAACAAAGACTTCACATAAATCAATAATAAAAGAATCTGATCCCCTAGATCTTATACACTCTGATATATGTGAATTAGATGGAAGTTTAACTAGAAATAATAAACGTTATTTTATCACTTTTACTGACGATTGCTCTGATTATACTTATGTATATCTAATGAAGAATAAAAGTGAAGCGCTTGACATGTTTAAGGTGTATGTAACTGAAATTGAGAATCAATTTAACAAGAAGATTAAGAGACTTCGCAGTGATAGGGGAACCGAATATGACTCTAGCTTGTTTAATGATTTTTATGCTGAACATGGTATTATACATGAAACGACTGCTCCATACTCTCCTGAAATGAATGGTAAAGCAGAAAGAAAGAATAGGACTCTTACTGAACTTGTAGTTGCAATCATGTTAAATTCTGGTGCTGCACCTCACTGGTGGGGGGAAATTTTATTAACTGTTTGCTATGTCCTGAATAAAGTTCCCAAGTCGAAAAGTAAGATCTCACCTTATGAGATATTAAAGAAAAGACAACCAAATTTGTCTTATTTGAGAACTTGGGGCTGCCTGGCTTATGTCAGAATTCCGGATCCGAAACGAGTTAAACTCGCTAGTAGAGCCTATGAATGCGTATTCATTGGGTATGCAGCAAACAGTAAGGCATACGGGTTTTATGACCTAAATGCCAGAGTAATCATAGAATCAAACGATGTTGAATTCTTTGAAGACAAATTTCCCTTCAAATCGAGAAATAGTGGGGGCACACAATCGAGTCACATTCCTGTGATAAAAAGCACTGAAAGCAGCGACAATGTAGAAACAGAGCTTCGAAGAAGTAAAAGAGCAAGAGTTGCTAAAGACTATGGGCCCGATTATGCGGCCTATAATGTAGAAGAAGATCCAATAAATCTTCAAGAAGCATTGTCATCTATGGATGCAGACTTATGGCAAGAAGCCATTAATGATGAGATAGATTCTCTAGAATTTAACAAGACCTGGCACTTAGTAAACTTACCTCCGGGTTGCAAACCAATTGGTTGTAAATGGGTTTTGAAAAAGAAACTAAAACCTGATGGAACGATTGAGAAATACAAGGCACGCCTTGTAGCCAAGGGTTTTAGACAAAGAGAAAATATAGATTTCTTCGACACCTTTTCTCCAGTCACTAGAATTACATCCATTAAGGTACTCATTTCAATAGCAGCCATTTATAACTTAATAGTACACCAAATGGATGTTAAAACAGCTTTTTTAAACGGTGACTTAGAAGAAGAAATCTATATGGAACAACCAGAAGGATTTGTAATCCAAGGACAAGAAAGCAAGGTCTGTAAGTTAGATAAGTCTCTGTATGGACTAAAACAAGCCCCTAAACAATGGCATGAAAAGTTTGATAACTTAATGATAATTAATGGGTACAAAGTGAATGAAAGTGACAAGTGCGTCTATTACAAATCTGAGAATCGCATTTGTACTATCATATGTCTATATGTAGACGATCTACTTATATTTGGATCAAACATTCAGGCCATTAATGATATGAAATCATTGTTATGCAATAACT